CAAGAGTGCTGCCCTCAAAATGAGGGCAAGGAGTACAAAGAAGGGACCATCAGTGGCCATGTATTGAATTCACCCACTGCCACATGAGAAGCAATTGTCCCTGCTGGCCCTATATAGGGCTTGATGAGTCCAGCCATCAGGTCTACCATTTTCTGCCTACAGCAGCTGGATTGGTAATCTCAGGTTCTTCCCCATCAATGTTTGTGGTTTCCTATAGGGTCCAGAGCAATTAAATCATCTTCCTAATGGAAGGAAAAGGACATAGACTAGGAAGCAACTAAGGTGCTTGAGGGTCCTTGTCTGAGGTCTGATGTTGCCCTGTTGTGTGATCTCAGCAAAGACATGGTTTTTACTTGTGTTTCAAACTACCTTTTGCTACCTCTGTCCACAGGAAACTGCAATGCCTGGTATGCGAGGGGGTAAAAAAGTGCTTTGTGATGGCAAAACAAGAACAGAACTGCTTTGTGATCATAGCACAGGCTACTGTCCCCACACTTCACCCCAAATCCAAGGTGTAGGCGGAGGAAAATGAACTCCTTTTTTCCTGCAAACAACTCTGAGATGCACAAGGCGTCGCCAGCAGAAGCTGGCAGAAATCCCACACTCCAAGTCTTTTACAACCAAAAGAGCTTAGCAATTAGTAAAATAACAAAAAAATGTCAAATGCATTTTTGATGCTCTGAAGTTGCTGAGATTTTAAACAAACAGTCTGGGCTGTTCCCACACACCGAAGGGTCTGTGCACCAGCAATGTAGCAACAGCACCACCGTATGGGGATCTCCAGCCTCTACAGCCTTCAGAATCTGGTCCATCTACAGTTTGCTCAGCAGCCCAAATTAGCACCATGGTGGGATTAATTTGCAGCAATGCATTGATTTCATGGCTCTCAGCAAGAACGTGTGTGATGTGAAGGAGAACGTTTTCTCCAAGGCTGGTCAGGCTAGCTTCCAAAATCTGAAATCCCGAATGGGAATAGCTGGATGTTTGGGTCTGTGCCTGGACCCTTGTAGAAATACTCAAGGTCAGACAAGCTCCTTGCTTGTTAAACCTTTATAATGCTCACTGGTTGTACTTGTTTGCACCCACATATCTCAAAACACTTCTCTTGTGATGCAGGAGTCATGAGCCCTATTTGCCACTAGAGGAAGAAGAGGCACAAAGAAGGGAACGAACATGCCAAAGGTCCTTCAGCAGCCCAGGGACAAGGACCTCAGGACCTTTCTGTCTTTGCTCAATGTTCTGCTCTTAATGACAGCTCCGGTCTTTGTTGCTGGACTCTGGAAGATGTTACAGGCAGCCTAGCCTTGCCTCCGTGTGCTCTGAAGCTTATTTGAACAGCAAAGCTAGAAGTAAACCCTTGTGGTGTGAGCTAGACCATGACATGAAACAGTGTTTTAAGCATCTACAGACATAGCAGCCGGAGTTTATCTCCGCTGGCAGTAAAGGGCAGCCCTGGAGCAGGAGGAATTATGTTTCCTGCTGCTGGGACAGCATCGTGCCTGCCCATCCCAAGGCATGTGCATGGGAGAGTGGAAAACAGCCGAGAGGTTGATAAGACTTTAGGCTGAGAGAGGTGACATACTGTGGCCTTTTGTCACAAGCAGAGCAAAGCATGCCTGTAATCATGTACACAGTTAGAAGAGGGTACAGAGGACTATCTACCCCAGCTTCTCCTGACTGCCAGCTACCCATCCATCTCTGTGGACATCTGTATATCTACTCTTTTTTAAATCTTTCTCTCCCCTTATCTATCCATCTGTCTTCCTGTCTATCCAATCACATGCCTCATTTAGGATCCATGCTTCCCTCCTTACGGACAAGTCTGTAATGCGATTTGCCTTACTGCCATCTAGTGACTCAGTTCTCATTTATTCCCCACTCGTTCTGACTTGGGACAGTTCGCTGCTCACGAAGCTGCTTGCATTCCCAGGAACACAGCTGTGCAGCCGTTAGAAATTCCAACTTTGATGCCAAAATTGGCTACTAAAATCCCTTATTGTACGTGCCACATCCCCACAGATTGAGTAGATTCGCAGTCATCACCAGCTTATTCACTGCACAGGTATCAAACACCTTCCAGGAGTGGAAAAGTCAATAAGATTTCTTCTGTGGCCCATTGCAACTTCCACACACTTACTCCAGGACATCCTGAAAAGGAGCTGCAAGCCATGCTCATGCTGAGCAAGCAAGGCAGTGATCTCTCTTCAGGGCCGGGCAGGCTTGGACAGCAGGTCCTGCTGTTCTTGCACTTAATCCTGGCTTGAATTAAGGCATCTGAGAAGGTGTTACACCTCTGAGCTTGGAGGCTACAGGCTCTGCAGGATCCCCTGATGATCTGGGTCTTTCAAGGACTGCAATTCATTCAGGAGCTTGGATGAGTGTGTGGAACTCTGTCTCAGTTTCCTCTTTGCTAGGTTCTGTTGGGTTTTGGGTTTTTTTTTTTTTTCCTCTTCTGCTTATAAGAGACATCCCCACAAAAAAAGGCAGTCTGTGATTGAAGTCTTAATACATTATCTCTGTCATCTTGCAGGCTTCACTACAGCCTCTTCAGACCACCTAGCTAAACAGTTGACGCAGCCCAGAAAATCAGAGTGACTTTCTTTTGCCTTTGGAGACACTTGGTATCTCTGTCCAGATTTCCCAGGCATCGTTTTACCTAGTGCCTTTCTTGTCCCCAAATTTCCAGCTGATGCCTAGTACTGTTATCCAGCCCCTCAGTGTGATCCACGACACCATGCTCTGCACCGCAATCCACCACCCCTTTCCCAGCCTGACACCAGGCAGGTGAACCAGGATACAGCAAATAATCAAGCCCTTTTTCCCTTCCCTCCTCAACAGAAAGTTCCAGACCTATCAGGAATCAGGAAAATAATATAAAAAAAAAACCACCAAAACCCAAGTGTTTTGTAGACATCCTTAGATTCCCAGGGGAAAGAGATGGTCATCTTCTTGCAGTTAGATGAACTTGGGATTTTATAACATCAGGAAAATAAGAAATACCAAGCTCACACCATCCAATGGACAACTGCACGTTAATGTATGTATAATAAGTATAACGGGGCACGTTTGCCATCTTCAGGAGTTGAGCAGGAACTGCACACGAATGTTCAAAAAAAAAAAAAAAGTGAGAAGCAACAATTGCGGTAAGGATATAGGAATTACTGGGTTCTCACACAGCCTCAGGCTGCAGCCAAGCAGGACTGGGGCATGGACAGGCTCTTAGCTGTGTGCATCTCTTTTACAGCACCGTGAGTCCTGGTCTTCTCTGGCAGCCCTGATGCTGTCAGAAAAAGAATAAAAAGAAATAATCATACTAGGAGAGTTTGACTGGCAGCAGGTCAGGCTGCTGAGGATGAAAAGAGCAGTCCCTTTTGCTTACCAATGAGTTGTTTGAAGAAAGAAATATTTAATTCAAGGCATGGGTGGATTTGATGGGGGGACCAGGTTGTGCTTTCCCCTTGGCTCTATTCTTCCCTAACACAAGGAACCAAACCCTACAGGGGCAATCATAAGGGATTAAAAAAGGAAAATAGCCTTAGATATCTCTGAATAAGGAACACCAGAGTCTAAGAACATATTGCTACTTTATTTATCCAGCTATTCCATAACAGCTATAAATGAGATGTTCTGCAAACATATGGTGAAGCAAAAGCCAATAGACACTGAAAGAAGGTGTTGGGTTGAGGATTTTTTTCTTTCTAAGCAGAAGTTCAAGAGTCCAAGGGGAAGCAGTTACCATCCCTGCTGAGGAAAGAGGATTTGCAAAATCATCCCCTGCACCAAATTCTCCACTGGTGTAAATCAGGGCAGTGTCATTACCTTCAGCAGACTTAGTCCAGCTGACCCTCTATCACTCGTCCTGCAGCCACTGATCAAGAGCAATGATCCACCAACACGCCAGCCCACCTTCCTTTCAATTTGAAAAAGGGCCTGGTGTCCAAAGAGCTAAACTGTGCAAGAGCACAGTCTCTGAAAGCTATTACTGCAAAGCACTAAGATCCTGAGATTTAAGAAAAAAACTAAATAAAGCAAGAAAACATGACAAATTAAATTTAGCAGAAAGGCCTGGTTTATTCTACACTGGCATGTACTGAGAAGTGGTCAAAGGACATGAGGGATGGGAGAGGTCTCCAATCAACCCACCAAAGCAAACATTCTCACTTCAGTTTGGAATGTGGCTGAACTCACCCTCATATGTGATGAGAAGTGGCATTTCTTTTACAAGCCCGAATTGTTTACAGTACCTGCTTCTGGGAGTTTAAGTGTAAAACCCTACCCGACCTATTCTAGACTGGCAGACAAAGAGAAGCATGCCACAGTGCAGACGTGGCAAATAAAAACAACACCAAACAAAGCCATCGCAAAGTCCCTTTGATTTCAACACACATAAAAAAATTTGAATTGGCCATTGTTTTTTACTAGACTACAAACAATACATACAAATAAGGGCAAACAAGCACCTGGACACCTGGAAGAGGCCAATACACTCTAATTCGCCCACATACCTTGCTACCACATGCCACGAGTGTCACAGAGACACTCAGACACGCAGATAAATAGCGGGAAGTGTTTATTAAAAGAACTTAGTGTCCTTGATTTAAACACAATAGCTCCACTCAAGATAGCAATGGGGGTGGAGAGCCTTGTTCACAGGGTGCAACCGCAGCTTCACTGGCTCTGGGGAAATGCATAAGGCCAGTCTTGTTCTAAAGAATTTGGGTTTTTTTCCACTCATGTGAACACTTTGCCCAAGGGTAGGAGGAAAGGCGGGGGCATAACAGTGGAGAGGAGGTGCTGTTAGGCTCCAAGAGTCACAGTCAGATAGGAGAGGCACCTAACGCAAATATCACCACCACAAAGCAACCCCTCCCTTGGTCCAGCCTCGCTCAGGTGCCTTCAGAGGGTAACCTCCTGGGCATGCCCGATTGCTGCTTCCCAGGGTATATAAACTGCCCCACAAGGAAACAACCCATATTCAACACGAGAGAGGCTATCCCAAAATGAAGGTTTTCCTTGTCCTCCTGCTGGGAGCAGTCCTGTGCTTGGACTCAGGTAAGACAGCGTGGAGACTCTGCCCCGCGTCCCCTCCAGCAGATCTTCAGCTAAGAGAAAAGACTCGTGATGGGGTTTGGCAGCAAAGGAAGAAATGCTGGTGCAGTTGTCGCATGAAGATACTTGCTTTTTGATGGGGTGCCCTGGGTGTTGCACTCTGCTGATGGTGCGATCCTAGTGCTGGATAGTGCAGCTTCCAGTAAAGATAAATCCTATACAAAACTGAATTTAATCGAAATCAAATTTATTTAAGCCAGACCACATAGTTATGTGTGTCTGTGTTTTTTTTTTTAAGTGGGGTGGGAGGGTTATTTGCCTTCTTCCCAGGCTATCAAAATTGAAACATTTCTGCAAAGGTAAGTGTTGTTCCGACTTGTTTTCTGACTCTTCATTTCAAAAGTGTCCTCTGATGCTGCACAGGTTACCAGAATTTTAATAGGAGAGAAAAAGGGATAATGGTACAGTGTGTTATTTTCTAAGTGGGAAGGGTGGGATTTGGGCACCGTCACTACTGTTTTTTCAGCCTGACTAGGAAAAAGATGGTTTTAAACCAGCTTTTCCCTATTACCAGAGAACAGAGGAAGCAAATCTGAGCAGAAGCGTTCCTTAATCGGCAGAGGATGTCTAAGGAATAGTCTGAGAAGGGTCTCATACAGTCCTGGCCAGACCCTCTCCTTTGCCAGCTTCCATCAGGGTGTAGTACTACAAACAAACTGAGGTTTGGCTCCTTGCCTCTATGACTACGTCAATCATTTATACTAGGACTGCCTGGCCAGGGGGAGAGCAAGCGCTTCAAATCTCTTCATGTTCCTTTTCTGAATAACACTGGTTTCTATTCTGTGTCCTAAAAGAATATGTTTGGCATTAGGGTGCTGACTTGAGGGAGTCACGATACAAGCCTGTGGTCATTGGGTTAAAGTACATATATATACATCAACTCCCACACTTGCAAGGCTCCAGTGATGTCCTGGGGCATGGGTAGGTAATAGGAACAGGTAATTGCACCATGCTCTCGACTCCTTTGGGGACTTTTTCATCAGGGCTAGACACTTGTAAGCTGCAATGCTTATTCTGCCTTTGCTTGATGCGCGTAACAGCACAGCAGATGTTAACAGTGCTGACTTGCATCCCCCATAGAGTGGCATGTCCACGAGGGGGTGGGAACACATGGTGAGCTGGTTTTCAGAGGGAGGAGAAAGCCGTGTTTGCACTCTGCAAGGGGGGTGGGTGATGGAGAGTATCTGTCACAAGTCGGTAAAACTGAGACAACAGGCTGGAAGAGACCTTTCAAATTTCCTGTTCCACCCCTCCCTCACCCTGTCTTTCCTCTGGGTGTTCCCTCTTTTGTCCAACCCCGGCAATGCTTCAGCTAAGGCTCACAGGCCCACCTGGTAAAACACTAATGTCTATAGAGGTAGACAAATAATATCAACCTGTGCTTCTGGGGACTGCATCCCTTCATCCCAGGTGGGAATATCACAAAAACCCTGTTCCAGACAGGAACTGAGGTGCAGAGGAAGAAGCATTTGGGAAACACTTCCCATTGACTGATGAGACCAGTCAACGAGACCAGCTATCCAGCTGGTCTCCTTTTGCTCCCTCACTGCACTGACTACATCTGAAACACCTTCAGTAACTGCAAAACTTGATTCTCACCTCAAGCGAGTGTACTATTCCCCGCTGAAAATGGAAAAAGCATTGTTTTCCCAACAACAGAGATGCTATCTTCCTTTGAGGACCCACAGGAATGGTCCTCCTTCCCAGTGCAAGTACTAAGCTGGGTTCCCCAGAAAGCTTCAGAAAGGTTTGTCTTATAACTCCTCTTGGTCTCTTGCAGGTTCTTCTTTGAGGTGTTACAGCTGCATGACACAGCTCAGCAACTCCAACTGTCAGAAGGCAGTGGACTGCAAGGAGAACGAAATGTGCAAGACAGATGTGATCAGTAAGGCGAAGTGGGGGTGGGCAATGTCTTAGTTGTGATGTTGGAGCCAAGCACCATGCCAGCCTCAGGTGTCCAAGCCAGCCCCACCTACTCTAGATACACCAGCTGGTATGGACCAGCAGAGCTCAGTGTGCAGCAGGAAGAGAAAAGCCAACTGGGGAGAAAAGGTGATAAAAAAAGCTTTCAGATGACTTTCATGTTAAACAGAAGTGACAGAAGTAAAATCTTTATCCCTTGGTGATAAGTGGTCCCTTGATATTGGGGCTGGCCATCATCAAGCCCTCTCCCCACACTGGGCAAGAGAATGTAATTACAAAGTCATATTAGCACATGCATGCTTTACCCCATAAATTCCCCAGTGTTTGACAGTAGATCGTGTTAAAAACTGAGCAGTAGGGCCAGTACAGTGCTGGTGCCTGGAACAAATCTCAGGAGGGTGCAGCTGCACTTGTCATCAGTGCCTGCATGAGGAATAGTGTGGCCAACAGGACTAGGGAAGGGATCATCCCCCTGTACTTGGCACTGGTAAGGTACCACCTCGAATACTGTGTTCAGTTTTGGGCCCCTTGCTACAAGACAGACATTGAGGGGCTGGAGCATGTCCAGAGAAGAGCTACGAAGCTGGTGAGGGGTCTGGAGGACAAGCCTTATGAGGAGCGGCTGAGGGAACTGGGGTTGTTTAGCCTGCGGAAGAGGAGGCTGAGGGGAGACCTTATCGCTTTTACAACTACCTGAAAGGAGGCTGTAGCGAGGTGGGGGCTGACCTCTTCTCCCTGGTGAAAAGTGATAGGACGAGACGAAATGGATTCAAACTATATCAGGCAAGGTTCAGATTGGATATTAGGAAAAAGTTCTTCACTGAAAGGGTTATCAAAGATTGGAAGAGGTTGCCCAGGGAAGTGGTTGAATTGTTATTCCTGGAGGCATTTAAAAGATGAGTAGACGTGATGCTGAGGGACATGGTTTAGTGGTGGTTTTGGCAGTGTTAGGTTGATGGTTGGTTAAAGGTCCCTTCCAACCTAGATGATTCTAAGATTCTATGACATGGCAAATACCTGCCAATGTCTCTCACCTGTACAAAATTAGGTTTATTTCTCTTTCATAACACTAAAAATTATTCGCTTACACGGGCAATAGTTAAGTTTATGGCTTTGAAAAACTTGGAACGTAAATTAAAATGTGAGGGGCTGAGTCTGGTGAAACCTGGTCATGAAGTTAGGAGCATTCAATAACAGAGCTGACTTTAGGTGAATTCAGCGAAAATCATAGGATTTCACTTAGGCCTATCTACAGCCAGATCTGAACGCAGTCACCTGTGTCTCTTTGGGTAAACTCCTTTAACAGATTATGATTTAATTCTCCCATTCTATATCTGGCAAAAAAAAAAAATGTTTGCCCTGTCTGGATCTGTGGTGATAGCTCAGTTGCTCTTAGACCTGGGACACAAAACCCACCAGTGGCATGTTCAAAATCTGTGGTGATAGCTCAGTTGCTCTTAGACCAAAACCCCCACAAAACCCACCAGTGGCATGTTCAAACTCAACTCTGCCAGGCAGTGAATGCAATACCTCCAGTAGGCATCGTCCTTGTTGGAAATGTGCAAACCCATGGCCATGGATTCACATGCAGGAGAGCCAACACATTGTATAACCCACTGGCCGTATACACTAAATTTGTGTATGTCAAAGAGTTAGTGCCCAGAATCGATTGTGCAAGATCAGGAGATCTCATGCAGACCATAATCTGCTGGTAACCAGCAGTTATTGAGTATCGACCAGCCACAGAAAAATGGGCTGTGTCTCTCAGAAACAAATCAAATAACTCTGTCATCTGTGAAATGGGAATAGCCACGTCTCCATAACTTCACTGGGTGTAGAAAGGCTCTGTGCAACAGACGTATGGGATAGGAGCAAAGATCACCCCACATGCTTGTTCCTCATCCGTTAGTAGCTTAGGCTCCCCGACAGAGGTGTTAATGGCTACTTTCCTAATTAATTAAATTATTACAATATCTGTAGTTGGTGCCGTTTTAGAAATCCTTGAGAACTGTGCTGTGGAATACACTGCCTTAAGCAAACACTTGGGGGTTGAAACCTTTCCCCCCCTGTTGACAAACTGACACCCCAAAAATACAACCTGCTACAGTAAAACATGCAGCTGTTGGGAAACACTTTTTTTTTTTTTTTCTCCAATAAGTGAGCTCAGATAAGATTATTCAGTTCCATGAGGCTTGGCTTGGCTTGGCTTGCATTGAGTCCTAGTAGTAACGGTCCTGCTTTCCTTCCAGGGGTCGCAGGGCTCTTCAGCATCATCAACAAGGGTTGTGACCTGTCATGTGAATCAGTCTATCAGGACTTCAAGGTGGGCACCAGGAATATCTCCTGCTGTAGCAGCGACCTCTGCAATGTCAACGCTGCGGGCAGTGTGAGGTACAGCTACGGGCTGGCAGCAGGGATAGCAGCCAGCGTGCTCTGGCCCTTCCTGAACAACAGACTGTGAGGACCAAAGAGGACTCCCATGACCACAGAAAGTCTTGGAGCACCCCTCTCACAGGAATTGTAACTAGGAGCAATGTGGTGTGTTGATCACACAGCACCCTTGGAGTTGATGGCAGATATTTGCCATATGATAGCTTCTTCATTACTGTTAATATATTGCTCTAGTGCTACCAGATAAAACATGTGTGCATGCAATCTGAATAACACCTAAAATATACTTATTTCTGAACCCAGTGTGAGTTTGTTTCCTGTATATCACTTAGTCATGTATTTCTGCAGCCAGCAGGAACTGCAGTGGGTGTGTTGCATAACTGGCCAATCATAGAATCATAGAATCATAGAATGGTTCAGGTTGGAAAGGACCTGGAAGACTATCGAGTTCCAACCCCCCTGCCATAGGCAGGGACACCTCCCACTAGACCAGGTTGACCAAGGCCACGTCCAGCCTGGCCTTCAACACCTCCAGGGATGGGGCCTCAACAACCTCTCTGGGCAACCTGTTCCAGTGCCTCACCACCATCAAAGTGAAAAACTTCTTCCTAATGTTTAATCCAAACCTGTCCTCTTCCAGTTTATAGCCATTCCCCCTCGTCCTATCACTACATGCCCTAGTAAAAAGTCCTTCCCCGGCTCTCCTGTAGGCTCTTTAGGTACTGGAAGGCGGCAATAAGGTGTCCCCGGAGCCTTCTCTTCTCCAGGCTGAACAGCCCCAACTCTCTCAGCCTCTCCTCATAGGAGAGGTGCTACAACCCTCGCATCATCCTCGTGGCTCTGCTCTGGGCACTCTCCAGCAGGTCCATGTCTTTCCTATGTTGGGGACTCCAGAGCTGGATGCAGTACTCCAGGTGGGGTCTCACAAGAGTGGAGTAGAAGGGCAGAATCACCTCCCTTGACCTGCTGGCCATACCTCTGGTGCAGCCCAGGATACGGTTGGCTTTCTGGGCTGCGACTGCACATTGCTAGCTCATGCTGAGCTTCTTGTCAATCAGCACGGCCAGGTCCTTCTCCTCAGAGCTGCTCTCCAGACATTCCCCACCAAGCCTGTATTTATGCTTGAGATTGCTCCGACCCAGATGTAGGACCTTGCACACAATGTTCAGTCTTGGTCATTGCTATGTAATGGTGATATGTGCTGAGACGTGTGGTGGCAGAGCAGAATAGAGGTGGCATCTGTACCTCCAAAGCTTGAGGTCCCCGGCTTATGACAAAGTCTGGAGGGCACATACCCCAAGAAAACCCATGAAATGCAATCACAGCTGAAGGGAAACTTCCTTGTGACCTAGAGACCCTGGGACACTGCACTTTTTTAGCTGCCATACAAGACAAAAGTGGTGCTCACTTTCCCTGATACATGTGCATACCGCCATTCATACGCCTTCCCATAGCTGTAGCATCCTTGGTATGGTGGGCAGGACTGCACATTTGGGTACCCGGAGCACCATGGTGGGCAATAACCATTGGAGTGAAGTGGAAGGGGTGCCCCCATGGTGTCCTGGTCAACCAAGCCAATTTGGGGACAACCAGTCCCCATCCTGGCCATAGTAGCATCCCCTGAAGGTTTCCATCTCCCACAGGTAGGTTTTAAGCTTTCTTCTCCAAGTTCCTCTTTGATCCATTCCCCAAGCCACAGCCTGGGACACAGGTCCTGTCATAACGCTGAAAAGGTGTTTATCTTAAAGGTCCTGAGGTGTTTATCTTAAAGGCCCTGAGGTGTTTATCTTAAAGGTCCTGTGGGGTTGCCTAGCAGAGCAGGGAGAGTGGAGAAAGTAAACATCAGAGCTCGCATTTTCCTGTCTGGGCAACTCGATCATGGAGGTGAGCACACACCTGTGGGCACACACCCACTTCTACCCCCACGTGAGGAGGGCAGATGAGTAGGGTGAGACTGGTGTTTCCTGGTGGTTTGTTGAGGTCATGAGGATACCCACAAAGCCTTTTATTACCTTCCTTGTAATAAGAAATTCCCTTCTACCCACTGATCTTTCCCCCTTCCTGGGACCCCCTGCTGAAGCCAGAGTGGCTTTCACCACTTGTCACATGTAGAAGATGAAGGTCTGATGAAGAAGCAGCTTAGAGCAACCTCTGGCACTGATACAATCCTTATGTTTTGCCCTTTACTGGTGTAATGAATGCAAGCTTTAAATATGTGGAAAACCATTTCAAGCCCTTTCTGTTACTGATATCAGTGAGGTGTCTGCGTGCAAGGCAGACTTTATAGTTTTAACATCTCTCTTATACAGTTACAGCCCCTCTATACAGTTATAAAGTCTAAATTATAGTTTGCCTTCTCCATATATTTTATTTTATGGATATAAATTTGAGTGTTCCCACCTTGCACCATGAAATCCTGTACAATGTTGGGCAATGGCAGCAGAGAAAGTATCACACAAAGCCTCCTGAAAGAAACACTCAAATAAGACCTCCAAGCCACACACATGTGAAGAGGTCTGAAAAACAAGGTAGAAAACATTCTGGAGAAGGCCACTGTGTCACATGTGCTTCCTCCCAATATAATAACAAAAGAAGACAACGCTGGTATCAGCAGAGCATACAGATGAGCCTGGGAGTGACAAGACAGGCTGGACCCATGAAGTCAAGGAGCTGTGAAGTCAGGACAGCAGCAAGTGGAGAACTAAAAGGGGAGGGAGATTGGCCAAGAGCCCCATTTTCCTCTCTCATAACCCTAAGAACTGTTGGAGCTGCAAAGGATGCGCAGACCCATGGGCTGAAATAACAAAAAAGCATTTACCTGATGGAGATGACTCATCTGGGTGACCCATAGCCATGGGACAAGAGCCAGCATCAAATTTTGGATGAAGTCAGATGTCAGAACATAATGATGCTGTCTGCTATTGTGAAAGAAAAAAGTACATAAACCCTTGGGACGCAAGGTATTAACAAGCTGCTAATTGTAGGAATCAGGGAAGGGGTTTCCCCAAAGGAAAAACCATGAGGAACCACCTTGCTTATATGAGACAAGTCTGGTTATTAGCAGAAGGAGGATATGGAACAGGTGAGATGATTTATTCTGGCTTTTGCAAACCTCCTGAGTCTTAGTCACTGAAGAGGGGGCCCATCCAGCTGTACATCTCCCAGCCAGGCTGTTTTCTGCATGGCTGACCAAGTCCATGAGCTCTCCAGTCTGGGGGCTTGTCTTCTTGCACTGTAAGAAGGTCCCTGACACACTACTGCCCATTTTCTGAAACAATTCCCAGGCAGTCAGGCATGTCCACATCCAGTGGCCAAACAATTTGGCTACAATGGCTCTTCCCAGAGACTGGGAGTTTAGCTGTACGGAAATGGGCAAAGTGTGTTAGCCAACAGCAGAGCCATTCAGGTCCCCAGGGTCATTGGGTGAGACACAGCCTCTGCCAGCTCTTGGAGAGGTCAAACACATTCAGCCCTGAAAATAAGAGAGATGTCAAAAGTCTTTAACATGAGTGGAGGCTGTTTACCTGCGTTATAGCATATCGGTCCCATGTGGCGATGACATCTACTTGCTGGAGTGCAGCATTTAGGACTTTTTTGCTGGAGCCAAGAGGTGACTTTTCCATGCTCTGGTGGTTGAGACCTGATGTCTAGACCCTTACAGGCTGAAGGGATGATTCCTTCTCCAAGATTCTTCTCTGCACATGTTCTAAAAGGAATCCACGATTGACCGCTGAGTAATTCTCCTCTGGATTTATCTGGAGACATATCCTCTCTGTGGATATATCTGGAGCTTTTGCATGCAGTGCTGGAGATAAGGGTGGGGGGGTTAGATAGTTTAGAGAAGGTGCAACTGAGACAGTCCATGACTGGGATAGACACAGTAAAGAGCAGGGTAGGAAGCCCCTGTGGACACAATGTGGTGCTAACTGGTGGAACTCACTGCTGCTTGATTGGGTACCTGGCATGGCACTTGCAACAGCACGACACTGCACTCCCCATCCAGGTTACCCACAGAGAGCTTCCAAAACAACCTTTTAAATTCTGGGAAGGGTTAGGAGGTGGCAAACTGAAGCGGATAAATGACTCAATTGTGGGTCAGAACCTGGGCTGGGCCAGGGCAGGACCAGGAAGAGGACTGTTTTCCCAGGTGCTGTGACTGCACATTGACAGAAAGGCTGGCCTCCCCTCCTGACTTGTAAACCCCTAAGAAACATAAACAGAACTCAGTCCCTCCTGCTCTACTCTCCATCCTTTGTCATCAGGGTGCTCAGCTGGTTCAGATGATCCGGCATCACGCAACCCCGCGAGCCCTGGCTGAAGGTTGGTTTTCTCTCTGGGTGGTAAGAAAAAGGGCTGAGAGCTGTTTGCTGGGTGAGGCACAATCACAATATTTGTTTGAAAAACAAGGCTATTATTTTTTTATTTTTTTCTTGCCCAAGCAAGTTGTTTCTTGACATTGCTGGCTGAGCAGCTTTATCAGTTCTTCTCTTATCCCTATCTTTTCCACACTTATCGAAAAGCCTAAAATTGAGGACTGTCTCTTTAAACAACTCAATCCCATGTATGCAAGAGATTTCTATTCCTCCAGGATCAAACTGCAGTTCATTTATTTAAATAATATATAGCTGGACAATAAAATGGATGGTTTCTTGTTTTCAAGGGCAGGAGCTGCATTTTTCCAAAGGCTGCAGTCGCATTATGGACTGAATTCTCTAGTGAGGTTACCTCTTACAGGTGGGAAAAGTAAAGCAACTCTGATCTAGAGTAACTGTTTTGCTATGATTTTTATGGTAGGAAACATTACAGACGTTATGTTCAAAGTAAAAGAAAAGTTGTTGCTTAAATAATTGTTATGATGCTATATTTAGTACTGGCAGTATTAACTAGTATTCCTTATCTGTGTGGATAGGGATTAGGGCACACAGTATTTCCTATGGTCCAGTAGAAGTTACACCTACTGCCTGCACCTGGTCTGAAAAATGTTGCCAAGTTCCCTCGAATTCAACCCAATTTGCAGCAGCCAGCTAAAAACATTCGATCCTGGAGAAAGTCTCTGGGGCAGAGAGGCCG